CCTGTAATCGCAGCATTTTGGAAGGCCAAGGCAGGTGGATCACTTGAGGTCAGGAATTCAAGACCAGCATGGCAACATGGTGAAACTTCATCTCTAATAAAAATACAAAAATTAGCAGGGTGTAGTAGTGGGCACCTGTAGTCCCAGGTACTTGGGAGGCTGAGGCATGAGAATAGATTGAACCCAAGAGGCAGAAGTTGCAGTGAGCAGAGATCACACCACTGCACTTTCGCCTGAGAGACAAAGCAAGACTCTGTCTCAAAACAAAAAGTAAGAGACATAACATAAGAAAATTGAGGGCCAGGCACAGTGGCTCATGCCTGTAATCCCAGCACTTTGAGAGGCTGAGGCAGGTAGATCACCTGAAGTCAGGAGTTCGAGACCAGCCTGGCCAACATGGCGAAACTCTGTCTGTACTAAAAATACAAAAATTAGCCAGATGTGATGGTGGGTGCCTGTGATCCCAGCTACTCAGGAGGTTGAGGCAGGAGAATATCCTGAACCTGGGAGGCAGAGGTTGCAGTGAGCCAAGACTGCACCACTGCACTCCAGCCTGGGCAATAGAGCAAGAGTCTGTCTCAAGAGAGAAAGAGAGAGAGAGACAGAGAAAGGAAAGGAAAGGAAGGAAGAAAGAGAGAAAGGAAAGAAAAAGGAAAAAGAAAAAGAAAAAAGGAAAGAAGGAAAGAAAAAAAATTGAGAAGCCACACCTGGCACCTGTTCTGGTTAATCTGTAACTAAGTAGATATCACATATTTGCATCTAGATATGACACAAAAACAGAAAAATTAATTTATTCTGTCTTCATATGTTACTGATCTCAACCCAGACCCCAGGAGCAGGCTCTTGGGTCTCACACAAGACAGAATTCAGGGCAAATCACAGCATACTGTGAAGTTAAAATAGCTTGTTAGAGACTATTCTATTACAGAGCAGGATGTCCTCAGAAAGAAAGAGGAGGAATGCCCCCACCTCAGATACAACGCTTGCTTATATAGGATGACAGAGCTAAGAATGATGTTTTTTGTTTTTGTTTTTTGAGACGGTCTCGCTCTCTCACCCAGGCTGAAGGGCAGTGGTGCAATCTCAGCTCATCGCAGCCCCAACCTCCCAGGCTCAAGCAATCCTCCCACCTCCACCTCCAGAGTAGGTGAGATCGTAGCTGTAGGCACGTGCCACCATGCCAGGCTAATTTTTGTATTTTTGTAGAAACAGGGTTTTGCCACGTTGCCCAGGCTAGTCTCAAACTCCTGGGCTCAAGCGATCTGCCTGCCTCTGCTTCCCAAAGGGCTGGGATTACAGGCCTGAGCCACCACACCAGGCCAAATAATGTTCTTACATGCTTTATTACAAAGGCTTGTGATCGGCTTGTGACAGGTTTTTAGCATTGTTATTCTTTTGTGTAACTATTAATTTCAGCAAGAATTTATGGATATGCTATTACCTTTCAAGCAAAACCTAGTCTTTTTTTTTTTTTTTTATACAAAGTCTCACTCTGTTGCCGAAGCTGGAGTTCAGTAGTGCGATCTTGGCTCACTGCAACCTCCACCTGCTGGGTTCAAGGGATTCTCCTGCCTCAGCCTCCCCAGAAACTGGGACTACAAGTACCCGCCACCACGCCTGGCTAATTTTTTTTTATTTTTTTTTTTTTTTTTTTTTTTTTTTGAGATGGAGTCTCACTCTGTCACCCAGGCTGGAGTGCAGTGGCACCTTCTCGGCTCACTGCAACCTCTGCCTCCTGGGTTCAAGCGATTCTCCTGCCTCAGCCTCCTGAGTAGCTGGGATTACAGATGTATACCACTACGCTGGCTAAGCTTTGTATTTTTAGTAGAGACGGGGTTTCACCATGTTGGTCAGGCTGTTCTTGAACTCCTGATCTCATGATCTGCCCACCTCAGCCTCCCAAAGTGCTGGGCTTACAGGTGTGAGCCACCACGCCCAGCCAGTGACTGAATATTTCTAAGAAACTTAAAGCAGTGCCTGGAATGTGGTAAGTACTATGTTCGTCCCCCTACACGTATCTGCAGAGTGACCAGGCACTGAGGATACCAAGGGAAGAAACTGTGGAAAGTCCCTGCCCTCATGGAACGTGCATCCTGGTGGCAGATACCATCAGGAAACACAGTGAACAAGTGAAATATACACAGTATACCAGATGGGCCAATACACTATCTATATTTCTATATATAGGATATTGGATTGCTTGAACCTGGGAGGCAGAGGTTGCAGTGAACCAAGATAGCACCTGTGCACTCTGGCCTGGGAGACAGAGTGAGAGTTTGTCTCCAAAAAAGAAAAAAAAAACCCAGGAATATGGTTATACCTCCTTCCAAGGATAGGAGTGAGGATTACGTAAAATGGTGGGAGTCATGAGCTGTGAACCGTGTCTGGAACGTGGTGAGCCTTCAGTAAACCTCAGTCATATGATGAAGATGATTGTATTAGTTTTCTCCAGCTGCTGTAACAAAATGCCACAGACTGAGGGGCTTAAACAACAGAAATGTATTTTCTCACAGTTCTGGAGGCTGGAAGTCCCAGATTAAGGTGGAAGCCAGTTTGATGTCCCTGGGTGCCCCTCTCCGTGGCTTGCAGAAGGCCACCTTCTCGCTGTGTCCTCACGTGGCCTTTCCTCTGCGCTCATCCCTGGTGTCTCTTCCTCTTCTTATGAGGACACTAGTCTTAGTGGATCCAGGCCCCATGCTTATGACCTCATTTAACTTTATTATGCCTGAAGAACCTGTCTCCAAATATGGTCGTATTGGAGGGCTAGAACTACATATTAATTTGGGGAGTGGATAATAATTCAGTTAATAATGGTTTCTCTCTGTCTCTGTCTCTCTCCACTGCAGACGGAGAATATCCAGCTGAAACATGGGCAACAATCCCGTCAGCTGAAGAGGTAATACCAGGAAGGGTGTGAAGGGAATCATAGGTTTGGGAACAGAATGAGGCTCCTGGGTAGAGACTCCATATGTGACTTCCTCCCTGCTGCTTCCCTGGCCATTTGTCTGTGAGATGTTCCCCTCCCGTGGAAAGCTCTGGGAGGTGCTTTTCTCTCCTTTTGCCAACTGCCAGCACCCCATCTTCCCACCTCAGCACAAGCCTGGAAGCTGCCTAAACAAGCAGTTTATATTTCATAAACCCCTTGGGCTGCCTGCAAAAGAAACTCACTACAGTAGCTCAGGAAGAAACAAAATGAACAGTTTAATATGAGGATCTATGAAATTTTCCAGCAATCCATAGGTGTGACAGTCAGCATCTGCTGTGTAACAGATTGCCTCCCCAAAACTTAGTGGCTTGAATCAGCCATTTATTTAGCTTGCAGTTTCATGGGTCATCCATTTGGGCTGGCCTCAGCTGTGCAGTTCTTCTGTTCTCTGCAGGGCTCGCTCCTGCATCTGGGCTCAGTTGGCAGATTGCCCAGGGGCTATCTGGACTAGGATAGCCTCATAGCTGGGCCAACTGGCCTCTCCTCCACATTGTCTCTGATCCTCCAGCAGAGTGGCCCAAGCTTGTTCACATGGCAGAGACAGGATTCCAAGAGGAAGAGCAAAAACTACAAGGCCCCTCAAGTCTCAATCTCAAAATTGGCATGCCATCACTTCTGCCACAGAAGGGACTTCATTGGCGAAAGTCACGTGGCTGGCCAAATTCAAGGGGTGGGGAAGTTGATTCCGCCTCTTACTAGGAAGGGAAAAATCCGTGGCCTGTTTTGCAATCTACCAACAAATGTGGAAGTACACTGCTCTCTCTCCCAGCCTCCCCCGCCCACACACTTCACCCCCACCCCAAGCCCTTACCAGTCTTTTTCCCCTACACGTGGAATTCGTAGTTCTCCGTCTCTCTCTCGACAGGTGGGCACTTTGTACTTCTCTGTCCACGTGGAAAAAGCCTCCATCCCATAGCTTCCAAGTCCACAACATCTCTGTTCAAGGGAACAACCCAGCTTAACCAGACTCCGTTTGTCCTGTTTCTGTAACACCTGAAGAAAGCATCTGATGGGTTGACCCGGTGCCATCCGTGGTCCCATCGCTGTGACACATTGTGCAAGCAAAGCACCATGGGCTCATCCCTGTCTGTGGAAGCTCAGTGCTTAGAAAACAGGTGGGATGTTTTACCTGGGAAATTGCCCAGACCCCAAAATATGTCTATTACACATGCTGCTCTTTTTTTTCTTTTTGCTCTTTTTCATAAAGAACCAAAACATAAATAAAAACACCACCAGGTCTGAGTGGTTTCTCATGAAGCCTCTCTTCCTGAGAAGTGGGGAGATGGTTCCCAGAAATCCGTGGCGTGTTTGCAAATAAGATCAACCTTTGAGCTTGGCGTTGCTCACGTTTAATACCCCTCCAGCAGAGGATCCCGACAGATGGCAGGCACAGAGCACGCAAGTGTGGTTGGAACTCCTCTGGGGATACAGCTCACATCTGAGGAACATTCAGTGCTTCTGTGACCAAGACAATCACCTAAGCAGCATTATGCTTAGCAGTAATAGTAGCAGACCTGAGTCCACGTCTTGTCTGTTGAGCGCTCTCCATGTGTCAGCCATTGACTATTCACCTTAAGTGATTAATGCATCATAGCCGGCCGGGCACAGGGGCACACACCTGCAATCCCTCCACTTTGGGAGGCCGAGGCAGGTGTATCACCTGAGGTCAGGAGTTTCAGACCAGCCTGGCCAACATAGTGAAACCCTATCTCTACTAAAAACACAAAAATCAGCCGGACGTTGGAGGCACATGTCTATAATCCCAGCTACTAGGGAGGCTGAGGCAGGAGAATCACCTGAACCCAGGAAGCAGAGGTTTCAGTGAGCCAAGATCATGGCCATTGCACTACAGCCTGGGTGACGGAGCAAGACTCTGACT